TCCCCCGCAGTGCCTCCAGGCATGAGGACATGACCTGCACACATATGTTTGCTCTTTCACATTCTTAACAGCAGAGGAAGAAGTCAAGACCCAGTTGAAAGATTATACTTGCAGTGGACAGGGTTTGGTAGCATGCACCTTTCCATACAACATCTAGAAGAATTTGGGATATGGACTGATGATATGAAGGTATCTTAATTCCCCCTATCCTCTTCCAAGAATTCCTCTTCCAGTTTTGACACAGTAGTCTTTCTCTGTCTTCTGCATTCCTTAAATCCCCAAATAAAATAAGATGGGCGGGAGCCTTTGATGACTGCCGCCTTTTGGATTTCATGGGATTATATTCACTTTCTTTATTGCTCCTATTAAGAATAATAGAACCATAGAGTTGGAAGAGACCTCATGGGCCATCAAGTCCAACCCCCCCCGCCTAGAAGCAGGAATATTGCATTCAAAACACCCCTGACAGATGACCATAAGGAATTAGGAGAGACTGTTAGTCATGGAAACGGTTCCAAAACAGGGTAGGGATGGGCTTGTCTACAGGAACCAGAGGTCAATAACTTCAGGCACTTGGGTTGACTCTGACTTCCACGTATCACACTCTGTTCTGCTAATGTTCCCAACTTGGCCACACACTCTTTGCTAAGACAATCAGAAATATATGTTTCTGATTGTCTTTGGTGACCCCTATGAAACCCCCTTGTGACCCTCTCAGCGGTCTTGACCCCAAGGTTGATTGACTTTTCCCAAGCTTGTTGGAAACACTGGGAAGAGCCCTCCTCTGCTGGGAGACCTATTCCCCACCAGTAGTCGAGCCAGGCCAAACAGACTACTGGTCATCGCACCCATCCCGGCACAATATCCTCGTGATTTAGAACAGTGGTTCTCAACCTGTGGGTCCACAGGTGTTTGGCCAACAACTCCCAGAAATCCCAGCTATTGGGATTTCTGGAAGTTGAAGGCCAAAACATCTGGGGATTCACAGGTTGAGAACCACTGGTTTAGAACATACCTGACTTCTGAATTCCAGCCTAGCATGGTTTGTTGCAACAAACACATGACAAAGATAAACTGGAATCAAACCTTGGTATTGGATTTTGATTTATCATGTAACTTTGAGTAGAACAAACTACAGTTCCTTGAGGTCAAATGCAACACACAATTCATTTGGTGTGAAAATAAAAACAGAGGCTTCTGTGTGTTTACTTAGAGGGGCACGAGAGGCCTATTAGATTTGAAGTGTAGCCACAAACAGTTATTGTGTGCTCAGGTAGTTTCTGTTTTGCCACGCCTGGAAGATTCATTTATTCGTGTTTCGATTTTTCTCCCCCATGTGATTTTGACAATTTTTGCCTGCAGCTTTAATGCTCTGCCTGGTTGACATGAGGGATGTGTTCAGGGAGGTCTCTGTTGCTTCTGTATTTTTTAAAAAGGTTATAATTTAGTTCCTAGACATGATGCAAGTGGTCATCGCAGTTCTAATGTGTAAACGTTCCAAAAGCCTTTGCCCTGAAGCTCCACTCAGTTGCCTTTGGTTGATCTTGATGGATTTGGAATGGCATCCTGGAACTTCATACTGAGAAAGCCATCACATAAAACATGACAGCTTCTCTTCTCTGTGCTGTAGGCCCTTTTATTTGCTTGTTGGTCTCAGACGTGATGAACGATAAGGTTGGCGATTGTGATAGTATTAAAGTGTGAACTCCAAGCAGTGGTAACTTCTTGAAAAAAACATTTACATGTAATTTTTCAAAGAAACATCTACTTGAATGTCTAGTTGAATCATGCCTTAGATGTAGAGCAAGTGTGAAGAACCAACCTTCACTAGAAATTTTATTATACCTTGCCTCGACGTCTTCAGATAAATGTATTTTTGCATATACATAAATATGCACACATACCATAGACCTTCAGGTGTTTGGGACTACTATTTCCATGATACTTTACCATTAGCCATACTGACAGAAGCTGATGACAGTTTAAGTCCAACGCAGCTTGGAAGGCAGAATTCCTGCTTTAGTGGGTTTTCTTTGACCTCCTTGCTGGGCAGATCATTCACAAGAGAAGATTTGGAAAGAAAGGCAAGAATTCAGGGCAGTTTGGGAATTTGAGGAGGTCTCTACAAGATTGGAATGAAGCGCAACCCAACCCATCATTCTGTTAGCCAGTTAGCTGGCTGCAAATTTCCCCTAACTCAGGGAAGATCAAGTTCTGAAAGTCCAGGAGCCAGTTTTGTCTTCCCCAAGACTATTGTATGCAATGTGAGCTCCATATCACCAGGACCGATACCCTGCTTTCGTTTATCCACTACCAACAAAATATTATCTCTCTAAGCATTGTTTAGATCCTCTAGCACAGTGGTTCTCAGCCTTCCTAATACTTTACTCAATTACTTACTTAGGTGATCCTTGTTGTCTGAGTAGGATAATCCTCCAGGATGGGTCTGTAGGTGACTATGGAGCCCTATTCTTGATCTGCATCGTCTCCCGCAGTGAGGGCATTGGTTTCCAGGTGGAAGGCAGTCCCGCTCGGGGTTGGCTTGACGCACCTTCCTCTTGGCACATTTCTCTCTTTCGCCCTCCATTCATGCCTCTTCAAATTCTGCAGCACTGCTGGTCACAGCTGACCTCCAGCTGGAGTGCTCAAGGGCCAGGGCTTCCCAGTTCTCAGTGTCTATGCCAGAGTTTTAAAGGTTGGCTTTGAGCCCATCTTTAAATCTCTTTTCCTGCCCACCAACATTCCGTTTTCCATTCTTGAGTTCGGAGTAGAGCAACTGCTTTGGGAGACGGTGGTCAGTCATCTGAACAACATGGCCAGTCCAGTGGAGTTGATGGCGGAGGAAAGGAGCTGATCTAATATTACTGGGAAGGGAGTTCCATAGCCAAGGGACCACCACTGAGAAGGCCCTGTCTCTCGTCCCCACTAACCGCGCCTATGAAGAAGATGAGACCGAGAGCAGGGCCTCACTAGAATCTCCACAAAGGTTCGTAGAGAGAGATACATTTATACAGATAAGCTTGGCTGGAACTGTTTAGGGCTTTATAAACTAAAGCCAACACTTTGAATTATTCTCAGTAGAAGACTGGCAGCCAGTGGAGCTGATATAACAAGAGGAGTAGTATGCTCCCTGTGCACTGCTCCAGTGAGGAAACTGGCTGCTACCCGTTGGACCACTTAAAGCTTCTGAACAATCTTCATAGGCAATCCCGTGTAGTCTCTTTGGGATGTAACAAAAGTGTGGACTACCATGGCCAAGTTTGACTTCCCAAGGTACAGGCACACAAGTTTTAATTGTGCAAATGCTTCCCTGGCCACCACCGAGACCTGGGGTTCCAGGCTCAGCGATGAGTCCAGGAAAACACCCAAGCTGTAACCCTTCGTTTCCAGGGGGAGTGCAACCCTGTTTGTAACCCTATATACTGCCTTGTGACTGACCAGTAGTGATTAGAGTGTAGTGATTAGATTGTTGGACTAGGAATCTGGTAGGTCAGAGTTCAGATCTCCACTCATCCACAGAAACCTATGGGGTTTCAAAGGAAGGCAATGGCAAAATTTCTTGGAATAAATCTCACCAAGTAAACCCCATGATATAGCATTGTTATACACCGAGTTTAATTTGAAGGCATATAATAACAGCAACACATGGGCTCTTGTCAATGAATATCTCTACTTGGATGCTGTTGGATTGTGAAGGATAGCAACTGTCGTATCTTTGTACAACACATACCAGGCTTCTGGGGCCTGACTTTGTATGAACTAGTCCCCAGATAAATGTACAGAAATTACCACATTTATCTGGAGAGACGTTTTGGTTGTCTCTCTGTGGTTGTATATAAAATGATATAGAGGACTGCCTTAGTTAAGTTTTTGGTCCACCTGGACAAATATTGTATGTACATCAAAGTATGAACCATAAAGGCCCCCAAAGATTGTTGGACTGCAAGTCCCAGCAGCCCTTGCCAATATGACAAATAATGGGAATGCTGATAGTTGCAATGTATTGTCGAAGGCTTTCATGGCCAGAATCACTGGGTTGTTGCAGGTTTTTTCAGGCTATATGGTCATGTTCTAGAGGCATTCTCTCCTGATGTTTCGCCTGCATCTATGGCAAGCATCCTCAGAGGTAGTGAGGTCTGTTGGCACTAGGAAAATGGGTTTATATATCTGTGGACTGACCAGGGTCCATAGATATATAAATTAGGGCTGGGCAGCCACGGAAAAATTTGTTTCTAAACTCGATTCCTTTTTAGGTGGTTTTTGCGTTTCGTTTTTTAAAAGAATTCCGAAATTTTTCTTTAAAAAAGTTCGATATTTACAAAATTCGAAACAATTTCGAAACAAATAACGAATCGATTCGTTAATGGCGGACGCGATTGCGCAATATGCTAAAAAACCTCCAAATGGGACAGGGGGAACTTCTGAAGCTTCCCTCTCCCTCTGTTGTTGACTCTTGGTGTGATAATTTATTTTTTATCACTGATAAAACAAACAACAACCATAAAACTTGCACCAGACATACGGAAATAATACGAAACAATACGAAATAAATTTTAAAAATTCGTTTCGATTTTTAGTTGCTCCTGAATGGTTCAATATCGGATCGTAAGCTACTTTAAATACGAATTATTAACGAATTACGAAATTAACGAACGAAACTGCCCAGCCCTAATATAAATCTATTTTTCTAGTTCCAACAGACCTCACTGCCTCTGAGGATGCTTGCCATAGATGCAGGCGAAACGTCAGGAGAGAATGCCTCAAGAACATGGCCATATAGCCCAAAAAAACCTACAACAACCCACTGATAGTTGCAGTTCAATAAATGGAGAACCACCTGATTCCCAGCCATGTGCTGAAGTGATCAATGGTGGCTTCCCAGGGTTACATAACGTGGTCTTTGTCAGCTATTGAATCTAGAACCTTTTACCTGCCAAGCATGTGTTCACTTGTATTTTGAATCAAATCTGAATCATATTCTTTCCCCTTCTCCCTTCTAGTATAAAGTGGAAGGCTCCAAAGTAACCAGCTACTGCAATGAAACTTTACCAGGATGGGTCCATGATGTGCTCGGCCATAACTGGGCATGTTTCACTGCACATAAGATCTCCCCTTCTGCCTCCAGTGTTCGTGTAAATCAGCTGCCTCTTGGGAAACAACACACAAAGTGAGTAAAATGTTTTGTTGCTCCTATCTATATAAATCTATATACATCTATATACATCTATATAAATCTATATAAATCTATATAAATAAAAACGTAATGTTCTTTTGTGGAATTAACATAACTCAAAAACCACTGGGCAAATTGACACCAAATTTGGACACAATACACCTATCAGGCCAACAAGTGATCATCACTAATAAAAACACTGAAAAACACAGCAGAAGAGACTTAGAAAGCCCCAAAACAAAAAAAATACATTAAAACACATGCTCAAAACCACATATATACACAAACACACATATATACACATGTATACAAATATATACATATACACAAAACACATATACACAGACTGGGCCACAGCAATGCATAATAATAATAATAATAATAATAATAATAATAATAATAATAATAATAATAATAATGGACTCCTAGAGTTCAAAGGGACCCCCAAGGGTCATCTAGTATGTTCATAATTTTGTAATTGAAATCCAAAGATCTTCTGAAAACCAGGCACCTCTGATTAATCATGGTATGTATTTTGAATCTACTGGTCATAGAGGATGTAGTAAAATCAGATATCTTCTTTTCAAGACACAGCTAATATCTTGCATGCCACTGAAATTCATCCTTCCCCAAATAGTTGCCTCCAGATATGTCAGGCTACACTTAGAGTTGGCTTAAATGGAGCTCACAAAAATTGAGAAAACAACAATTATCAGCAGCGTCATATCTCATAGCTTTTCAACCTACTGAACCTTAGCCAAGATATATATATCATTGCATATTGAGTTTTTGCTGCTTACCACAGATCTCTGCAGAATGCCTATGTCAACAATTTCAACTTTGTGAAAGCCATCAACAATGCCCAGAAGTCATGGACGGCAACAACCTATAAGGAATATGAAGCCCTCACCTTAGAAGATATTGTTCGGAAAGCTGGTGGATTGAGTTCCAGAGTTTCAAGGTAAATTGATGGTTATGGTAATAATTTTCTTTTTATAACCCACCTCCATCTTCCTGCAGGGACTCGGGATGGCTTACATGGGGCTAAGCCCAATCAACAGACTTTTAACTTAATTGGGAATAAACGAGTGGCTGAACTCTACTGTTTTAGATAGCTTCCATAGACCCCCATGAGTTAATTTCTTCTATTCAAGATGGTTGCTAGCTTGGATGACTTTAAAATGTGTAAGAGCCAGTCTACAGTTGTATCAGATTTATTCTCCAACATTATCAAGTTGAAATCTCTCCTGTGGGTTCCTGGGAGTCATAGTTTGGTGAAGTGCTTACAATTCTGTGCTAGAGAGCTCTAGTCCATGCAGGAGAGCACCGGTCCACTTCCTTGGACTGTAGCTCTGGTGATCTCTAATAGAGAATTCCAAGTCTCTCACTAAGCTACACATTCCTAGATTGGATAGAGGCCTGATAGTTCAAGTGGTATCAAACTGCTGTGACTGTAATGTAGATACAAAAATGTGGTAGTGACCACAAGCTGGATTGGTGTCTGTAGGGCAGTGGTTCTCAGCCTTCCTCCTGCCACAATCCCTTAATATAATTCGTCATATTGTGGTGACCACCAAACATAAAAAAATTGCTATTTCACTATTTTGCTACTATATTGCATCATGGTTTGTGTGTGTATTATAGGCACATAAATGTCTTGTTGGCCTTGCCTATTTCAGTGTCTGTCTATCTATTTGCCTGTCTGTCTCTGGCGTACATATGTGTGTGTGCACTTTTTCTGACTGCATTTATTTTTATTTGTCGTGTCAGAGCAACCAGTCCATTATATTACATTTCTAACAGAACAAAGCAAACAAACGGACAAATACAAAACTTGTGAGTTTGGTAGTTGGTTAAATGTCCTTTGACCAGTATCTGGTCACTTGGAGTGCTTCCGGTGTTGCCACAAGAAAGTCCTGCATTGTGCATGTAGCAGGGCTCAGGTTGCATTGCAGCAGGTGGTCAGTGGTTTGCTCCTCTCCACACTCGCATGTCGAGGATTCCACTTTGTTGCCCCATTTCTCAAGGTTGGCTCTGCATCTCGTGATGCCAGAGCGCAGTCTGTTCAGCACCTTCCAAGTCGCCCTGTCTTCTGTGTGCCCAGGAGGGAGTCTCTCATTTGGTATCAGCCATTGGTTGAGGTTCTTGGTTTGAGCCTGCCACTTTTGGACTCTCGCTTGCTGAGGTGTTCCAGTGAGTGTCTGTAGATCTTAGAAAACTATTTCTTGATTTAAGTCGTTGACGTGCTGGCTGATACCCAAACAGGGGATGAGTTGGAGATGTCTCTGCCTTGGTCCTTTCACTATTGGCTGCTACTTCCCGGCAGATGTCAGGTGGTGCAATACCGGCTAAGCAGTGTAATTTCTCCAGTGCAGTTGGTGTAGGGCGCAGTTGGTGTAGGGCGCAGACACCCCGTGATAATGCGGCATGTCTCATTCAGAGCCACATCCACTGTTTTAGTGTGGTGAAATGTGTTCCACACTGGGCATGCATACTCAGCAGCAGAGTAGCACAGCACATAAGTGTATATTAGTGTTTGTCTGTGTGACTTTGCATCCATATGTACCTCCTTCTCCATTAATGCGAGTGTCTCTGCTCCTGCCCATCTGTTGTTCTTTATCTCTCTGTCCATTTGTATGTATATTTATTTATTTATTTATTTATTTATTTGCTATTTTTGTATACCACCCTTCTCAGCCCTTATGCGACTCAGGGCGGGTTATCCCTATTGGTATCTTTCCTTCACTCTTGCACATTACTCTGTGATTAAGACTCCCAGATTGTTCACACCCTTATATTTTGGGCCCTCATCATCTTCTGCTGTATCTTTATATTAGACTTCTGATGCTGTCACTTTGATTGATTGATTGATTGATTGATTGATTGATTGATTGATATCTCGCTAGTCTGCCCAAAGTAGCGCTTAAGGCACAGAAGCAGCGTACAGATTAAACACATGATTTTGATTAAATTATAACACAAAAACAAGTTACGAAACCAGTTACAAGCATGGCAACAAAAGTCATAGACGGCACCCAGCTGTTTAGACTTTTTTTTTCTGTCACAGATCTTCCTACACATCTAAGGCCTGACTAAACTGTAAAGTTGCATTTGCTTGCTGACAGAAGAATAAAAGGGATTATACTCATCTGAAGGGACTGATCTATCTCCTCTAAGTTTAGGTTAAAGGATACATTGCAGTAAGCTGTAGAGAGTACAATTGGTAGCCTTACTGGTGACAAATGAATATAACAGAGTAGAGAAGCAGAAATTGATGGGCATACAGTAGGCACTCCACTTTCACATAGTTTATGAGTACAAAACCACTGCGTAATTGTGAAAAAAGAACTAATCTCTCTTAGAAGGAAGTTAAGGAGTGAGTGGGAGCTGAGAAGACTCTCCATGCGAGTTCCCACGAACCACATCTCTGATGTTAATAGAACCAAGAGATGGAACTCTCCTCAAAATCTTACAACCCAGACAGGCTCGAAGGGGAATATTTGGACTTTCAAGTACCATGGCTCCAAACAGTGCATGGCTTAGAATCAAAGAATCTTAGAAAGGACAAAAAGTGTCATTGTCTAATCCCCCTGCAATGCCAGAATACACAACCAAAGCATTTCCAAAAGGTGCCCCTTAAACCTTTGTTATTGTTTATTCATTCAGTCGCTTCCAACTCTTCATGACCTCATGGACTAGCCCACGCCAAAGCTCCCTATCGGCTGTCAATACCTCCAGCTCCTTCAGAGTCAAGCCAGTCACCTCAAGGATACCATCCATCCATCTTGCCCTTGGTTGGCCCCTCTTCTTTTTTCCTTCCATTTTCCCCAGCATCATTGTCTTCTCCAAGCTTTCCTGCCTTCTTATTATGTGGCCAAAGTACTTCATCTTTGCCTCTAATATCCTTCCCTCCAGTCGGGCTTTATTTCCTATATTTAAGGACCTTCAAAAAAGAGAGTCTCCAAGGCAATACATTCCACTTTCAAACATCTCTTACATTCAAGACACTTAATTTAGGCAGAAAAAAATGAAATGCAAAGATACAGAATAGTGGGCGCCAGGCTTGAGAGAAGTACATGTGAAAATATCGTGGAGTTCTCATGGATAGCAAGTTAAACATGAGCCAAAATGTCATACAGCAGCTAAAAAAGCCAATGGAGTTTTGGTTTGCATAAATAGGAGTCTAGTGTCTAGATTCAGGGAAGTCATGCTACCCCTCTATTCTGCCTTAGTCAAACCACTCCTGCAATACTGTGTCTAATTCTGGGCACCACAATTTAAGGGAGAGGTTGACAAGCTGGAATGTATCCAGAGGTGGGCAATTAAAATGATCAAGGTTCTGGAAAGCAAGCCCTATGAGGAGCAGCTTAAAGAGCTAGGCATGTTTAGCCTGCAGAAGAGAAGGCTGAGAGGAGACATGATGACGGTCATGTATAAATATGTGAGAGGAAGTCATAGGGAGGAGGGAGCAGGCTTATTTTCTGCTGCCCTGGAGACTAGGGCATGGAACAGTGGCTACAAACGACAGGAAAGGAGATTCCACCTGAACATGAGGAAGAACTTCCTGTGAGAGCTGTTCAGCAGTGGAACTCTCTCCCCCAGAGTGTGGTGGAGGCTCCTTCATTGGAGGCTTTCAAGCAGAAGCTGGATTGCCATTTGTTGGGGGTGCTTTGTATGTGATTTTCCTGCTTCTTGGCAGGGGGTTGGACTGGATGGCCCAAGAGGTCTCTTCCAATTCTTTGATTCTAAGACATTCTGTCTAATGTTCAGCTAAAAATCATTTTCTTGTCGTTTGGATCCATTTGATCCATTTTAATCTCTGGAGCAGAAGGAAACAGGGTCACCCCATCTTCTACATAACATCCCTTCAGATATTTAAAGATAGTTATCATGTCCCCTTTCAGTCTTCTCTTCTCCAAGTTAAATGTACCCAGATCTCAGAAGGCTTAGTTTCCAGAACTTTGATGGTCTTGGTCTCTCTTCTCTGAATATGTTCCAGCTTTCATCATGCTCTGTCCCATTGCCCTCTGTTGTCATCACTGACATTCTTGAACAAAGGAGTGCCAAGGAATTGTGCCTGGCTGTAAACGCCCAGAAGTACACAGCCAGACACTCTGTCCTCCAGTTGTCCCCTTTGGCAGGTGTTAAGAATTTCAATACAGTAATTCAATACATATCTATGGGACCAATACTCATAGTTTCAGTTATCCACATCCAAGAAAATATGCCCACTATAGACATTTTCAAGATCCTCCAACAGCACTTTGTGTTATTCTTCGGCCAGATGTCCTTCATTTCAATAGCCTTTGCTATTATCCATGATTATACATATCCATGCAAAGTTCAGGGACCTTTTTTTCCTGCAGATATGGAGATTGTATTGGATACAAAATCACATGAACCTTATTTTTTCTTGCAGGCCCAAGCCTGCTCCTCTGACAGTGGATGTGATCAAAGAAGCGTATAGTCTGCCAAAATCGTGGGACTGGAGGAATGTGGATGGTGTGAATTATGTCAGCCCAGTACGAAACCAAGGTAGGACACACTCCTTCCAAAGCCTTCTTACTGAAATTTTAATCTGGAGTATGCTGAATATGAAAGTAAAGTGTGCAATTGGAATGATCAACTTGGGTTTGCATATTGGATCTATGATGCAAGGAGAAGATTTTTTTTTAAATTATTCATAGTTATATGATTTCTCCACACTATTATTTATTTATTGCATTTATATAGCACTCAAAAGGATTCTCAACATAATGGCTGGCAAATTTCAAGGCCTTACATGTATAAAACAACACATATCAAAACAATGACGACAATAGATTAAAATCATTAAAATTATTAAATTAATTATTAATTATAAAACAACACTTCCATTTGAGCTCCTGGCCATTGCGGGCACCTCTTATGACATCAGGACTGAGCACACAAATGTACTGTATTGGAGCCCCAGTTGGTGCAATGTTTCTCAACCTTCCTAATGCCATGACCCCTTAATATGGTTCCTCATGTTGTGGTGACCCCCAACATAACATTATTTTTGTTGCTACTTCATAATTAATTCTGCTACTGTTATGAATCGTAATGTAAATATCTGATATGCAGGATATGGCGCAGCTGGCTGGGAGTCAGCTGCATTAAGATCACTACTGACAGAAAGGTCATGAGTTCGAAACCAGCGCCGGGCAGAGTGAGCTTCTGACCAATTTGTGTAGCTTGCTGTCGACCTTTGCAGTTCGAAAGACAGTTGCATCTGTCAAGTATGAAATTTAGGTACAACATATGTGGGGAGGCTAATTTAACTAATTTACAACACCATAACAATCTCCAGCAAGCATGCAAAAGAATGAGAAAGTACTTTATCAGTGTCACAAATGGATGGTGAAGCGACAGCTCCCCTGGTGGCCAGAATACCCTCATCAAAAAAAAAAGTTGGAATGTTAAGTAGCCTCTGTGTGTCTGTCTATATATGTTATGTGTCTATGGCATTGAATGTTTGCCATGTATATGTACATTGCAATCCGCCCTGAGTCCCCTGCGGGGTGAGAAGGGCGGAATATAAATACTGTAAATAAATAAATAAATAAATAAATAAATAAATAAATAAATTCACTGGACCAAATTTGGCACAAATACCCAATGCGCCCAAATTTGAATACTGGTGGGGTTGGGGGGATTCATTTTGTCATTTAGGCGCTGTAGTTGCTGGGATTTATACTTCACTTACAATGAAAGGTAATTTTGAATCCCACCAATGATAGAATTGGGCCAGACTTACCACACAGAACCCTCATGCTTTGAAGGGACTCACTCACACCTGCACACCACCCTGCCATGTGCCGAGCACACCTGCTCTCCCCTCCCCACTTGGGAGTCCCAAAAATAGCCCTCTCTTTGACTGAGAGGCCAGCCAATCACAGCGGCAGAGGGTTTTTCATGGGATGATTCGCTGTCTGTTTCCAAACAGGAAGAGAAGGACAGGTGGAGAGATCTTCATCCTTCTCTGCCAAAGGAGTTCCTAAGACCATCAGAAATATGTATTTTCTGAAGTTCTTTGGCGACCCCTCTGAAACCCCCTTGCAACTTTCCAGAGGTCCTGATCTTCAGGTTGAGAAACGCTGGGTTAAAACTTCATGCCAGCTGAACTGCTGACCGAAAGCTCAGTGGTTTGAATCCGGGATGCAGGGTGAGCTCCTGTCTGTCAGCTCCAGCCTCACACAGGATGGTAAAACATCCAGTTGTCCCCTGGGCAACGCCCTTGCAGACAGTCAAATCTCACACCAGAAGTGACTTACAGTTTCTCAAGTCACTCCTGACACAGAAAAAAAGTATTAAGAAAGAGGGGGTGATGTCTCCTGCGTCTTTCTGATCTCACAATGGCCAACTAGGAGTAGCAGCGACGAGGGGGGAAGATGCATGCCATAACAGTAAAACCACTGTGTTCCCTAACTGGGTAAATAACAGAGCTGCTCCAGAGCACATTTACATTGAGATAAACTTCCTGGCATATATGAGCCTTAGAATTCAGGAAATCAGGGTTCAAATTCCGACTAGGCTATAGGAAGCCACTGGGTGACTTTGGGCAAGTGACACTTTTTTAGTCTTAGAAGAAAGTAATTATAAGACAAGCCATAAGTCCATAGACATGAGGGCACATAACCACTACAATATGAAGGCACATTTAACCAATCAGGCTTGCATAAATGTTTGCCCACTATTCTGGAAGTCTTCTTTAGCTGAGCAAACCAATAAGATCTAGTCCTATGTGATTATTGTAGAAGAAATAAATTCTTGTTTGCTTCTTTGCTTTGTTGAGAACCCATTTTGGGACCTACCGCGCCGTAACTAATGCAGCCTTGGAGACTCCCCTTGGCAGACAAAACTGGATAGTTAGAGGAACAGACTTCTTGAATCATGGCTTTCGAAGACTGCTTTAAGCTTTTTAATCAGTCTTTATGGTTTTCAATGATCTTGTTTGGCCATGGCGCATGTGGTCTCTAATGTAATTTAAAGCCGATCACAATTGAATTTGTGAGGAACATCAGAAACACAGTCGCATTTTTAAATCGGCTGAGATTGCTACTGATAACTCTGTTGTGCCCCCCTCCCATTCACCAAATGCCAATATTATCTAGTTAATAAATAAGTGTACCGCCATGCTGAAAAACCAATTTGTTTTGTTGATACAAGAAAATCGTACTGTTTCAGATTTGTTTGTCTCTGCAAAATGAGTTGAAACTTGACCAATTGGCAAGGTAACTGGGGAAATGACAGGGGGACTTCAGGATTCCCCCCCCCCCAAGCATGAGAAATTAATTTTATTGGACTACAAATCCCAGAATTGTAAAATATGAGTAAATACATCCAGCTTTTGGGAATGTTGGAGTGATCACCCAATAAATCAAATTTTACAAAGTTGTGGGATTCTTAAGTAGCCGAGTATATTGTCATAATAATAATAATAATAATAACAATAATAATAATAATATAATAGAAGTGCAAATATGAGTAGATCMATTTTTGCCAGATGTTGACCATAGAGTCTCCTTGTGTAGAGAAAAAGTGAGGTTGATGTTGTTGTTGTTGTTGTTRTTRTTRTTRTTRTTRTTATTATTATTATTACCATTGCTCAGATTTCCAATGGAACTTGTGTCACAAATACCATCTGCCTGCATCRAAGAACTGGTGGGCTCACAAGCCTGAAAAAGTTACAGAAAATGAACATGATTTAAAGATCAAACTGCAAAAACTCTGGTCCCAGTGGTGATCAGCACACTGGGTGAAGTGYCTAAAGACCTTGGCCTGCACTTAAAAACAATTGGCGCTGACAAAATTACCATCTGTCAGCTGCAAAAGGCCACCTTACTGGGATCTGCACACATTATTCGCTGATATATCCCTTGGGAAGTATCCGACATGTGATCCAATACAACAACCAGCATAGTTATCTTGTTTACTGTGTCCTAATCTTGTTTTGTTTCAAATAATAATAATAATAATAATAATAATAATAATACACTTTATTTATATTCTGCCCTTCCCCCCTAGGGGACTCAGAGTAGATTACAGCATTTACATACATAGGCAAACATACAATACCTTTACAATGAGACACACAAACAAAGGCAGAGGCTTCTCCTTTCACTTCCGGCTTCTGGGGGCAGTGCTCATCTCTAGCTCTGGGGAGGTGCTTTTTCTGTTTTCAAGCTGAGGAGCCTGCATTGTAACCTTCTGGTTGTGTGGCCTGTAAGATTGCTTGGAGCATTCTTTGCCTTTTCCCTCTGAAGCGGTACCTATTTATCTGCTCACATTTGCATGTTTTCAAATTGCTAGGTTGGCAGGAGCTGGAGCTGACAGGTGGGAGCTCAGGTCCCTTAATGTATGGCAAGAACACTTTTCCTCTGAGTGGATCTTTGTCTTGACTCTCATGGCTTGTTCTTGGTCTTGCAGCTCTTCTGATGTCTAAGGTGGAGTCTCCATTGGCCTGTAGAGCCTAGTTTAGGTGGTTCAGTTCACCTTGGAGGAAGTGGGGTTAGCAGATTCTTCTTGCACGGTCTGCCAAGGCTTTAGTTGTGCTTTTTTTTTTAACTTGGGTGATGGTTGGAGTTTTTATGTAGGTATCTATCCACGTGTGTAGGTTTTCTGTAAACTGTGTGGCCGAATTGTTGATCTGGTTTGCAGATGACAAAATTAACAATGTATATCTAAACTTTACACCTAGACGTGCTACAATTTGCTTTGTTTCAACATCTATTTGGAGCAGGTGGTTATAGCAGGATCTAGAGGAGGCCAGGGTCCACACACTGCCAAACAAAAAAGTTACACCCTTGCTTTCTCATACAAGCAAGATTCTGAGCATATAAATTGTGTAGCTGTGGTGTAATTTTAGGTGGTTTGAAAAAACATTTGTCTTGGCCACCTACACTTGCTTTTACATGACAAGAGGCAGTTCAGCTGCTTAACGCCTCTCCGAGATCACAATGCCCTTTCTTTGGTATCCATGGGCAAGGTACTTAGAAATAGAAAGGGAGTTGGAATTAAGCTGCCTGCTAGCGAGCAGGCCACCTTCCCATTTGATCACAGGGTTACTTTTGCTTTCAAAAGCGCTTGCTGAATTACAGGAAATTCTTACAGCGAGCAAAGAAGGACTGTGAGCGGATCGGTTTTCTGGCACAGAGTTGTCTTGTGTAAGAAAGTGTTCCACGTGGCCCTTGTTGCTAAGCAGCTGATGCTTAAAATATATGTTTTAAAAATCCCTCTGAAAAGCCAGAAAATTATGCCTGCTTCTTTGCAGTGAATGGTAAGAAAGGAAAAGAAGGTCCAGGAAGAAGAATGGCGGGTGGGTGTGGGCTCTAAAATTAAACATGTTTAGAAACTGGTAATATGGAAAGTGGGTGGCAGGCAGTCTACAAAGCAATTACTCTGAAGTTAAATGCACTTGTAAAGCTCGGTTTCCCAACTCTTTGCTCAGGCATGAGGGACCTTAGGTCCTGAGACTGAACCCATCCTCACAGTGTCCCAGTATGGTCAATTCTCATTTATAGTTGTTTCCTACCTTTTAATAAAATAATGAAACTTTATTTATATACCGCTCTATCTCCCCGAGGGGACTCAGAGCGGTTTCCAAGTAACATCATCAGATCAATAGGTACCGCTCCGGCGGGAAGGTAACGGCGCTCCATGCAGTATGCCGGCCACATGACCTTGGAGGTGTCTACGGACAACGCTGGCTCTTCGGCTTAGAAATGGAGATAAGCACCACACCCCAGAGTCAGACATGACTGGACTTAATGTCAGGGGACTACCTTTACCTTTACCTAAACAACATAACCATAAGATTAACAAAACAATATAAGCATAAAAATTGTCTCCATAACCCATATATATTAAAAGTAATCCTGCCTGTTCAAGGCAAATTAAAAGGCCTGGCCAAAATTAGTGCAAGTTCAAAAATTCTAGGGGGCCCGGGAATTAAGTGCAGTGCTATAGCAGGCAATAACATTAATAGGTACGGGCCTATGGCTGTTTATTTCCGGGGCCTATTAGAGGAAGTGACTTGGTTAATTGGTAGGAAGAATAAGGCCATATTCAACAATATCTAGGGCTGAGCTAGAACTAATCATTCCCAAAAGCTTGTTGAAACCGCCAGGTCTTTAAGCTCTTACGAAAGGAGGGGAGGGATGGGACCTGTTTCATTTCCCTGGGGAGGGCATTCCAGAGGCAGGGGGCCACCACGGAGAAGGCCCTCTTTCTCGTCCCCAACAACCATACTTATGACGATGGTGGGAGCAAAAGGAGGGCTTCCCTGGAAGATCTTAGAGTTTGTGCCGTTTCAAAGAAAGAGATCGATCGCTGAGATAGGTGGGGCCCGAACCGTTTAGGGCTTTATAGGTTATGACCTATAAAGACAAAGTTGAAGTACTTTGGCCACATCATGAGGAGACAGGAAAGCCTAGAGAAGACAATTATGCTGGGGAAAGTGGAAGGCAAAAGGAAGAGGGGCCGACCAAGGGCAAGATGGATGGATGGCATCCTTGAAGTGACTGGACTGACTTTGAGGGAGCTGGGGGTGGTGACGGCCGACAGGGAGCTCTGGCGTGGGCTGGTCCATGAGGTCACGAAGAGTCGGAGACGACTGAACGAATGAACAACAACAACGAAGGTTATGACCTGCACCTATAAAGCTGTTTTTCACCAGAATTTGTAGCCTATTTACAGTTAAAAGTCCCATGTTTATGGATTTTGTATCAACGGATTCAACCATCCAGGGTTTGAAAATATTCCCTAAAGCAGCAGTTCTCAACCTGTGGGTCCCCAGATGTTTTGGCCTTCAACTCCCAGAAATCCTAACAGCTGGTAAACTGGCTGGGATTTCTGGAAGTTGTAGGTCAAAACACCTAGGGACCCACAGATTGAGAACCACTGCCCTAGAAGAATGCTCCACCTTATGCAACTGTGGAGTAAACAAACAACTCCGCATCTGTACACTTGTCCACAATGCCCTACCTCATGTACAGAGGAAGAATTGTGTAAAACTACAAACAATGCGGTTGCTGTTGCCCGTTTTTTGGTCAAAAATTATTTAGCCACTTGTGCTCCCTATAGTGTATCCGTTTTATGCTTATTTATGCAATGCTTTTGACATGAAATAAAACCTAATGCTGATGAAGACAGAAGCACGGCATATGGAAGAGCTACATAAAATGACATGGTGGCCGGATTTGGACCACGGGCCTTGAGTTTGACACATGTAGCCTAGAGGACCATGAGATTGCACACCCTGATTTTGCCATTTTGTATTAAGGGCATTATTTTACTACACCGTTTTACGGCAAATATGGCTTGGGCATTCATAGATTTGGGTTTCCATGGTATCAGTTTGAGGCCATTTTGACAAAAAAAATGGGAATTGATACAGAAAACAATGGTATGGACCCAACATAGTTGTGCAAAGAGCCCAGTGTATTTTGTGCAAAGTCTTCACTATTTTTTGCAGATGATGATGATGATGATTGAAATTTCTTGGTGGTTGAGCTTTTTTTTTCACACGATAACTTAAATTGCCAAGACATCCATTCCCATCAAGGAGTGAAAATGCAAGTGCAGCACAACCTCCGTATCCACTGGGGATCCATAGCAAGAGTCCCCATAGATATCTGAAAATATAGATAAAAGCAAACCCTATGGTTTTATTATTCTTGGGGCGAAAACATTCCATAGATTAGCACTGGAAGCCACAGAGAGGTCCCTAAACCACTTCCAGGAGGTAATCCCATTTGGAGCAGTGAAACCATGAATATTGTGTCTGCAAATAGGGTTGTCCTGTATTCATTTCACCCTAATAATAAGTTTCCTTTATATCCCATGTTTTCCTCCAGTGAGTTCAAGGTGACATACCTGGCCGCCCTTCTGCACACTGAAATAAGTCAAGCTGAGAGAGAATGGCTAGCTTTAGCTCAGCTGGCAGAGTTATGGCTGACTAAAGACTCTAATCTGGATTGCTCACGTTGCAGCTAACGTAGCATTGACACTCTGTGCCATCCACATTCTCATGAAATACTACTTAAGTTCCCTCCCAGCAAGAAGTTACATCCTGGTCCAGAGAGGTAGGAAATAGTAAGTCTAGAAAACATGTCTGCTGGTCAACTAATACTATTCTCCCTCTGGTCTTCAGCATCCTGTGGCAGCTGCTATGCCTTTGCCTCCATGGGCATGCTGGAAAGTAGGATTCGGATCCTCACTGGCAATTCACAGACTCCAACGCTCAGCCCCCAAAAGGTTGTGTCCTGCAGTCAGTATTCCCAAGGTAA